TGTGAGTAATCAGGAGGACTTTGAAGTTGATTCTTTGACGGACGGGGAGCCAGTGGAGGTTCTGGAGGACGAGAGTGATGTGGTCTCGGGAGCGGGTGTGGGTGAGGAGGCGGGCAGCAGAGTTCTGGATATGTTGGAGTTTATTGAGGAGGTTGGATGGTATGCCGGCGTAGAGGATGCTATTGCAGTAGTCGAGTCGTGAAGTGATGAATGCATGAATCAGGGTTTCAGCAGCAGAGGAGGAGAGTGATGGGCGGAGACGGGCAATGTTTTTGAGGTGGAAAAAGGCGGTCCTGGTGATGTGATTTATGTGGTGGTTGAATTTGAGCTGACTGTCGAAGATGACTCCGAGGTTGCGGATGTGAGGGGGGGAGATAGAGTGTGGCTGTCAATGGTGAAGTTGAAATTCTGGATGTCTTTGATACAGGATGGGGGGCCGATGATGATGATGTCTGATTTGGCACTGTTCAGTTGGAGATAGTTTGTTTGCATCCATGCTTTTATTTCTGAGAGACAGTTGGTGAGAGTGGGGTGTGTTGTGGGGGTGATGGTTTTTGTTGAGATATAAAGTTGGATGTCATCGGCGTAGCAGTGAAATTCAAGGTTGTGGCGACGAATTATTTTGCCAAGGGGGAGCATGTAGAGGATGAAGAGGAGGGGGCCAAGCACCGAACCCTGGGGGACACTTTGGGACAGAGGAGCAGTGGAGGAGGTGCAGTTGTTGATGTTGATAAACTGATGTCTGTCGGTGAGGTAGGATTTCAGCCAGGAGAGTGCAGTGTCGGTGATGTTGAGTGATGATTCGAGGAGGGACAGCAGGATGGCGTGGTTGATGGTGTCGAATGCTGCGGTGAGGTCGAGGAGGATGAGGATGTTAAGGTTGCCGGAGTCAGAGGAGAGGAGGAGGTCGTTTGTGATTTTGAGAAGAGCTGTTTCGGTGCTGTGTTTTGATCGGAAACCGGATTGAAATGGCTCAAAGAGATCATTGGAGCTGAGGTGGGCTTTAAGTTGTGAGGCAACGACACGTTCAAGTATGTTTGACAGAAAGGGGAGATTTGAGATGGGCCGGAAGTTGGACATGATGTCAGGTGTGAGTCCATGTCTTTTGAGAATGGGTGTGACAGCAGCCAGTTTGAGAGAGGGGGGAACTGATCCAGATCTGAGGGAGGAGTTAATGATGGTGGTGATGAGTTGGGAGATGGCAGGGAGGCTCTCTTTAACACATTTGGAGGGCATTGGGTCAAGTGTGCAGGTGGAGTTAATTCCAGTCATGAAGTCGGACAGTTGCATGGGGGTCACAGGGGAGAAGTGGGACAGGGGCTGTGAGGTGAAGGGGGGGGAGCCAGGAGGGGAGGTGGGGGGTGCTAATGAGGGTGTCAGATTGCTGTAAATGTTGCTGATTTTGGTTTGGAAAAACGAGAGGAAGGAGTTGCACTGTTCGGTGGTGAAGGATTAGGTGGCGTTGTCACAGGGTTTGAGAAGTTTGAATTATGTCCCGCTTATTACCATATCGTGTAAATATTGGATCGAAAAAAACACTAGAAATAAAGCAATAAGCAAATATAATACTAATTGCTATTTATGACTATTTAACATCCAATTCACTAAGTATGTTTGGAGAACAAACAAATGAATGCATAAATATATTACTAAAAACAAATAACTTTTATTTATTGTCTATATACAGTATAAATATATATATTTATATATATATATATATATGTGTGTGTGTGTGTGTGTGTGTGTGTGTGTGTATACAATAATAATATGTATATTTGTAAATAACATTTTCAAGTGTTTGTTGAATGTCACCTAATTATTGGGGATGAAAGAGCAGCTCGGCTTGACTACAGTCTCACACACACAAACCCCACCTCAACCACTCATGCATTATTCCTAGTCAACTTCAACGTCATTGGTGTTTCAGGGAAAATCCCAAATCTTTGTAGCGCTATGCAAATATACATAAAAATGTTTACCCAGGGAGGGGAGGGCACTGCTTCAGTTAACCTCAGTTTAGCATCTGATAAATGACAGCGTAGATACTGATAGACAAACGTTTATATAGCATACTACTGCCAACAGGATTGAACTAGACTTCCAATTTGAAGACATCAATAGAGGCGATTATTGAAAGCTTACTGCAGAACTGAAAAACAAAGAACATTTAACTTATTATTCTTCATCATACTTCAACTACCTATTAATGGAGTGAACAGCAGGTGACATTTTGTTATCTTTTCATCTTTTGGATGGTTAACCAAATGCAGTAAAAATGAAAACGTGGATTCATGTGTGGTCCTGTAACTGGAGGAAGCTTTTCATCTTTTTTATAATCCTTGCGCTTTTGGTCATCCTGCTCATGGCATTTTGTGTTTTCTTTACACAAAAAAGAGGTAAGTGTTTGCTTTCTGTATTTTTCATTCCAAAGAAAGGGGGAGTTTACTAATCACTTGACTGAATAGTTATTTTAAATAGCCTTCAAACCAATATCACTTAACTACAATAAATGCAGACAGAGCAAATTACTTCTCTCTGTTATTAGGCACATTAACCCTAACACAATACTGAAGCGTAATTGTCTCAATATATTAGTTATATATATTTTTCACAAATAATTGAACATATGTTGGTGATTCATTAATCAATTATTTATACTATGAGTTAACTGGATTTATTTTTTCCCCGCATGCATTTGAAAACTATGACACACAACTGTCTAAAATCCAGATCACAACTTATAATATTGCAAAGAATGTCACTATGATTATAAGTTCTTACAATGTTCACTTCGGTTTTTAAATTTTTTTATTCCATGTAAGCAAGACAATTCACATGAAAAGGAAATAACTGATACTGTCTACAGATTGAATGGCATATCAGTTAATAATTAAAGAACCATAATATTGTAACAATATAATCATTAAACAGCCATTACATATTTGCCCAGGTTAAGTAAAATATAAACTGTTTAATATTGTGGAGGACAGGATTTTTAGTTCATGTGACTAAGATGCCAGCCTTGGCACTAATTAACATAAACAACACTTAAAATAAACAATTGAAACGATAAAATTGAAACTCTGCAGAATTTTTGACAAAGAGGTAGTTTAAAGAAAATATAAGAAAGTGGTAAATTCTCAGTAACTTAAGTCTAAACGTGACTTTAAAAGGTGATGCCAGTTGGTGTGATGTGTACTGACAAATACATTAATTACACACAATTATTCTCTTGTATGACAGGAGATCAAAATGAAAAAAGAAATAAACCTGCTGAAACATGGGGAAAAACACTGACATCAAGCAAACGTGAAGGAAATAATCTGTCAAAGACATCAGAAGCAGAAGAATTGGTCAACAGCCCTTCAACTTTGACTACCACAAAGTCCTTTCCTCCTGATCCTCAAGAAATGTCATCTTTTAATACAACAAAATCAGTGACCACAATAGGAATTGCAACATCCTTTACAGCTGATACCAGCACAACCCAGCTCCCATTGACTAGCCAGGAAAAATCTGCAAAAACAATGTCCTCATCAACGGAGCATCAATCTACAGCTACTAAAACTATGAAAACAACAAGGGAAATAGAATCAACAATGTCAACATCAACATTAACTGAACACAAATCTGAAACCACAATAATGGGGACAAGCACCACACAGCTCCCATCGACTAGCCAGGAAACATCTACAACATTGATGTCCTCATCAACAGAGCAACAATCTACACATGTTACTACGCTTGTTACACCAACAGGAACAATGGAGCCAACAATGTCAACATCAACATTCACCTCGAATGGAGAAACAAGTACTTCCAACACTGATAAATCTGCAACAACAATCATTTCCCCCACAAATACAGAGGGTTCCTCAGGTTCACCCTCTACATCCCATCCACAAACTACTAATTTCATACAAACATCTCCTGAAGGCAAATCTGAAACAACACCAATGGGGACCAGCACCACACAGTTCCCATCGAATAGCCAGGAATCATCTACAACATTGATGTCCTCATCAACCGAGAAACAATCTACACCTGTTACTACGCTTGTTACACCAACAGGAACAATGGAGTCAACAATGTCAACCCCAATATTTACATCGAAAGGAAAAACAAGTACTTTCAACAGTGAGCAATCCTCAACAACATTAATATCCACCACAAATACAGAGGTTTCATCAGATTCCAGCTCAACTTCCCCTCCACTAACTGCTCATTTAACACAAACATCTCCTGATCACAAATCTGAAACAACATCAATGGGGACCAGCAATACACAGTTCTCATCGACTGGCCAGGAAATATCTACAACATTGATGTCCTCATCAACCGAGCAACAATCTACACCCGTTACTGTCTATCCAACAGGAACAATGGAGCCAACAATGTCAACATCAACATTCACCTCGAATGGAGAAACAAGTGCTTCCAACACTGATCAATCTGCAACAACAATCATTTCCCCCACAAATACAGAGGGTTCCTCAGGTTCACCCTCTACATCCCATCCACAAACTACTCATTTCATAGAAACATCTCCTGAAGACAAATCTGAAACAACACCAATGGGGACCAGCAATACACAGTTCCCATCGACTAGCCAGGAAATATCTACAACATTGATGTCCTCATCAACCGAGCAACAATCTACACCCGTTACTGTCTATCCAACAGGAACAATGGAGCCAACAATGTCATCATCAACATTCACCTTGAATGGAGAAACAAGTACTTCCAACACTGAGCAATCCTCAACAACATTAATATCCACCGCAAATACAGAGGTTTCATCAGATTCCAGCTCAACTTCCCCTCCAATAACTGCTCATTTAACACAAACATCTCCTGAACACAAATCTGAAACAACATCAATGGGGACCAGCACCACACAGTTCCCATCGACTAGCCAGGAAACATCTACAACATTGATGTCCTCATCAACCGAGCAACAATCTACACCTGTTACTACGCTTGTTACACCAACAGGAACAATGGAGCCAACAATGTCAACCCCAATATTTACATCGAAAGGAGAAACAAGTACTTTCAACAGTGAACAATCCTCAACAACATTAATATCCACCACAAATAGAGAGGTTTCATCAGATTCCAGCTCAAGTTCCCCTCCACTAACGGCTCATTTAACACAAACATCTCCTGAACAAAAATCTGATACAACATCAATGGGGACCAGCACCACACAGTTCCCATCGACTAGCCAGGAAACATCTACAACATTGATGTCCTCATCAACCGAGCAACAATCTACACCTGTTACTACGCTTGTTACACCAACAGGAACAATGGAGCCAACAATGTCAACCCCAATATTTACATCGAAAGGAGAAACAAGTACTTTCAACAGTGAACAATCCTCAACAACATTAATATCCACCACAAATAGAGAGGTTTCATCAGATTCCAGCTCAAGTTCCCCTCCACTAACGGCTCATTTAACACAAACATCTCCTGAACAAAAATCTGAAACAACACTAATGGGGACCAGCAATACACAGTTCCCATCGACTAGCCAGGAAACATCTACAACAATGATGTCCTCATCAACAGAGCAACAATCTACACCTCTTAATACGCTTGTTACACCAACAGGAACAATGGAGCCAACAATGTCAACATCAACATTCACCTCGAATGGAGAAACAAGTACTTCCAACACTGATCAATCCTCAACAACATTAATATCCACCACAAATACAGAGGTTTCATCAGATTCCAGCTCAACTTCCCCTCCACTAACTAATCATTTAACACAAACATCTCCTGATCACAAATCTGAAACAACATCAATGGGGACCAGCAATACACAGTTCCCATCGACTAGCCAGGAAATATCTACAACATTGATGGCCTCATCAACCGAGCAACAATCTACATCCGTTACTGTCTATCCAACAGGAACAATGGAGCCAACAATGTCAACATCAACATTCACCTCGAATGGAGAAAGAAGTGCTTCCAACACTGATCAATCTGCAACAACAATAATTTTCCCCACAAATACAGAGGGTTCCTCAGGGTCTCCCTCTACATCCCATCCACAAACTACTCATTTCATACAAACATCTCCTGAAGACAAATCTGAAACAACACCAATGGGGACCAGCACCACACAGTTCCCATCAACTAGCCAGGAATCATCTACAACATTGATGTCCTCATCAACCGAGAAACAATCTACACCTGTTACTACACTTGTTACACCAACAGGAACAATGGAGTCAACAATGTCAACCCCAATATTTACATCGAAAGGAAAAACAAGTACTTTCAACAGTGAGAAATACTCAACAACATTAATATCCACCACAAATACTGAGGTTTCATCAGATTCCAGCTCAAGTTCCCCTCCACTAACTGCTCATTTAACACAAACATCTCCTGATCACAAATCTGAAACAACATCAATGGGGACCAGCAATACACAGTTCCCATCGACTAGCCAGGAAACATCTACAACAATGATGTCCTCATCAACCGAGCAACAATCTACATCCGTTACTGTCTATCCAACAGGAACAATGGAGCCAACAATGTCATCATCAACATTCACCTTGAATGGAGAAACAAGTACTTCCAACACTGAGCAATCCTCAACAACATTAATATCCACCGCAAATACAGAGGTTTCATCAGATTCCAGCTCAACTTCCCCTCCAATAACTGCTCATTTAACACAAACATCTCCTGAACAAAAATCTGAAACAACATCAATGGGGACCAGCACCACACAGTTCCCATCGACTAGCCAGGAAACATCTACAACATTGATGTCCTCATCAACCGAGCAACAATCTACACCTGTTACTACGCTTGTTACACCAACAGGAACAATGGAGCCAACAATGTCAACCCCAATATTTACATCGAAAGGAGAAACAAGTACTTTCAACAGTGAACAATCCTCAACAACATTAATATCCACCACAAATAGAGAGGTTTCATCAGATTCCAGCTCAAGTTCCCCTCCACTAACGGCTCATTTAACACAAACATCTCCTGAACAAAAATCTGATACAACATCAATGGGGACCAGCACCACACAGTTCCCATCGACTAGCCAGGAAACATCTACAACATTGATGTCCTCATCAACCGAGCAACAATCTACACCTGTTACTACGCTTGTTACACCAACAGGAACAATGGAGCCAACAATGTCAACATCAACATTCACCTCGAATGGAGAAACAAGTACTTTCCAACACTGATCAATCCTCAACAACATTAATATCCACCACAAATACAGAGGTTTCATCAGATTCCAGCTCAACTTCCCCTCCACTAACTGCTCATTTAACACAAACATCTCCTGATCACAAATCTGAAACAACATCAATGGGGACCAGCAATACACAGTTCCCATCGACTAGCCAGGAAATATCTACAACATTGATGTCCTCATCAACCGAGCAACAATCTACACCCGTTACTGTCTATCCAACAGGAACAATGGAGCCAACAATGTCAACATCAACATTCACCTCGAATGGAGAAACAAGTGCTTCCAACACTGATCAATCTGCAACAACAATAATTTTCCCCACAAATACAGAGGGTTCCTCAGGTTCTCCCTCTACATCCCATCCACAAACTACTCATTTCATACAAACATCTCCTGAAGACAAATCTGAAACAACACCAATGGGGACCAGCAATACACAGTTCCCATCGACTAGCCAGGAAATATCTACAACATTGATGTCCTCATCAACAGAGCAACAATCTACACCAGTGACTGTCCATCCAACAGGAACAATGGAGCCAACAATGTCAACATCAACATTCACCTTGAATGGAGAAACAAGTACTTCCAACACTGATCAATCCTCAACAACATTAATATCCACCACAAATACAGAGGTTTCATCAGATTCCAGCTCAACTTCCCCTCCACTAACGGCTCATTTAACACAAACATTTCCTGAACAAAAATCTGAAACAACACCAATGGGGACCAGCAATACACAGTTCCCATCGACTAGCCAGGAAACATCTACAACAATGATGTCCTCATCAACAGAGCAACAATCTACACCTCTTACTACGCTTGTTACACCAACAGGAACAATGGAGCCAACAATGTCAACATCAACATTCACCTTGAATGGAGAAACAAGTACTTCCAACACTGATCAATCTGCAACAACAATCATTTCCCCCACAAATACAGAGGGTTCCTCAGGTTCACCCTCTACATCCCATCCACAAACTACTCATTTCATAGAAACATCTGCTGAAGGCAAATCTGAAACAACACCAATGGGGACCAGCACCACACAGTTCCCATGGACTAGCCAGGACTCATCTACAACATTGACGTCCTCATCAACCGAGCAACATTCTACAATTGTTACTACGCTTGTTACACCAACAGGAACAATGGAGGCAACAATGTCAACCCCAATATTTACATCGAAAGGAGAAACAAGTACTTTCAACACTGAGCAATCCTCAACAACATTAATATCCACCACAAATACAGAGGTTTCATCAGATTCCAGCTCAACTTCCCCTCCACTAACGGCTCATTTAACACAAACATCTCCTGAACAAAAATCTGAAACAACACCAATGGGGACCAGCAATACACAGTTCCCATCTACTAGCCAGGAAACATCTACAACAATGATGTCCTCATCAACAGAGCAACAATCTACACCTCTTACTACGCTTGTTACACCAACAGGAACAATGGAGCCAACAATGTCAACATCAACATTCACCTCGAATGGAGAAACAAGTACTTCCAACACTGATCAATCTGCAACAACAATCATTTCCCCCACAAATACAGAGGGTTCCTCAGGTTCACCCTCTACATCCCATCCACAAACTAATAATTTCATACAAACATCTCCTGAAGACAAATCTGAAACAACACCAATGGGGACCAGCACCACACAGTTCCCATCGACTAGCCAGGAATCATCTACAACAATGATGTCCTCATCAACCGAGAAACAATCTACACCTGTTACTACACTTGTTACACCAACAGGAACAATGGAGTCAACAATGTCAACCCCAATATTTACATCGAAAGGAGAAACAAGTACTTTCAACAGTGATCAATCCTCAACAACATTAATATCCACCACAAATACAGAGGTTTCATCAGATTCCAGCTCAAGTTCCCCTCCACTAACTGCTCATTTAACACAAACATCTCCTGATCACAAATCTGAAACAACATCAATGGGGACCAGCAATACACAGTTCCCATCGACTAGCCAGGAAATATCTACAACATTGATGTCCTCATCAACCGAGCAACAATCTACACCCGTTACTGTCTATCCAACAGGAACAATGGAGCCAACAATGTCAACATCAACATTCACCTCGAATGGAGAAACAAGTACTTCCAACACTGATCAATCTGCAACAACAAAAATATCCCCCACAAATACAGAGGGTTCATCAGGATTCCAGCCTCTACATTCCCATCCACATAACTACTCATTTACACAAACATCTCCTGAACAAAATCTGAAACAACATCAATGGGGACCAGCACCACACAGTTCCCATCGACTAGCCAGGAAACATCTACAACATTGATGTCCTCATCAACCGAGCAACAATCTACACCTGTTACTACGCTTGTTACACCAACAGGAACAATGGAGCCAACAATGTCAACCCCAATATTTACATCGAAAGGAGAAACAAGTACTTTCAACAGTGAACAATCCTCAACAACATTAATATCCACCACAAATAGAGAGGTTTCATCAGATTCCAGCTCAAGTTCCCCTCCACTAACGGCTCATTTAACACAAACATCTCCTGAACAAAAATCTGATACAACATCAATGGGGACCAGCACCACACAGTTCCCATCGACTAGCCAGGAAACATCTACAACATTGATGTCCTCATCAACCGAGCAACAATCTACACCTGTTACTACGCTTGTTACACCAACAGGAACAATGGAGCCAACAATGTCAACATCCAATATTTACATCGAAAGGAGAAACAAGTACTTTCAACAGTGAGCAATCCTCAACAACATTAATATCCACCACAAATACAGAGGTTTCATCAGATTCCAGCTCAACTTCCCCTCCACTAACTGCTCATTTAACACAAACATCTCCTGAACAAAAATCTGAAACAACATCAATGGGGACCAGCAATACACAGTTCCCATCGACTAGCCAGGAAATATCTACAACATTGATGTCCTCATCAACCGAGCAACAATCTACACCCGTTACTGTCTATCCAACAGGAACAATGGAGCCAACAATGTCAACATCAACATTCACCTTGAATGGAGAAACAAGTGCTTCCAACACTGATCAATCTGCAACAACAATCATTTCCCCCACAAATACAGAGGGTTCCTCAGGTTCACCCTCTACATCCCATCCACAAACTACTCATTTCATAGAAACATCTCCTGAACACAAATCTGAAACAACACCAATGGGTCCCATCCCAACTGTGCTCCCATTGACTAGCCAAGAAACATCTACAACATTGATGTCCTCATCAACAGGGCAACAATATACACCCCTCACGGCTATTACAACAACAGGAAAAATGGAACCAACAATGTCAACCTCAACATTGACATCGGATGGAGAAACAAGTACTTCCAACACTGATCCAGCTGCAACAACTGTAATTTCAACCACAAATACAGTGGTTTCCTCAAGTTCACACTCAACATCCACAACACTGACCACTCATTTCACACAAACATCTCCTGAACACAAATCTGAAACTACTCCAATGGGTCCCATCCCAACTGTGCTCCCATTGACTAGCCAAGAAACATCTACAACATTGATGTCCTCATCGACAGTGCACCAATCTACACCTGTCCCGAAAGTGACACCAACACTTAATACTCTTTCAATACCATCTTCAAAAGCTTTGACGTCAGTGGAAATCATCACCACAAACACATTTACAAGAAAAACTCATTCAACATCAACCATCATTCCCCTTTCAAATACAACGATTACATTAACAACACAACCTACAACTCCTCAATGTCAGAACTGTCAATGTTTGGGGGGTACCTGTAAATTCATTATCACACTTGGAAAATGTCAATGCCTCTGTCAGGATTTTTTTTTTGGAGAGTCCTGTTCTTTTGGAAAGAATGACACAGCTCCTCATATTGGTGAGGTTTTGCATACCCAAATATTGATTTCCAAAATATGCTCCAACATTTTTTGGGGAAATATATAATATTTTTGCAATGTCAATAAATTGGTCTATTTTTGTTTCCAGACCCTGAGGAATTACCAACTCGGAAAGCAAATTTTTCTTTAGAAATCCAGGTCAATTTTCAATTGGCTTTTAAAGATCTTAGCTCACCTCAATCGTTGGAATTCATCAAAACCTTAGAACTACAGGTAGACCATTTTCTTATTTATTTACACAGCAATCGTTGCAATAACTTTAATTTATACACATTTTTCTGTAATTAGTTTTTTGCTCTATAGTTTTTTTAATGTTAGTGTCCAAACATATGTTTATACCATTAATAATAATACATTTTCCCTGTGTTGTAGATTGAAGCTTTATGCAAAGAAGCAGATCCACAAACCTTTAAAAAAGTACAAGTCATCAATTTATCGTGAGTTTTCATTTAACTTTACTGATAAAATAACTCAAATTACTCTTTAATCCAGAACAGTTTGTTTCCTATTGGTAATATCTATCTTTTATTTTACTGTAGACCAGGAAGTGTTGTTGCAAAGAGTATGGCAGAGTACATTTATCCAAACAATGAATCTCAAATCCAGTTTGTCAACACTCTGCTTGATGGGAGGTTGACTAACATCTTGAATGACACAAAAAACCTCATGACGATTTCTAATGCCTTTAATGCAGTCGTGCAGTTGAAGGAAATCACCTTCCAGCCACCTGAGATAAAAAGTATGTACAGGCAGTAATAAACGTGCATATTTGACATATTGTCAGTTGTTCTTCCTAGAACATGTCATCATTTTTTGTTTGTTTGTTAATGATAACTTAATTTACTTTTTTGCAATCAGATATCACAGATATTAAGCCTTTTGTAAACTGTTCTCAGTTTACTAATTACACTGCTGAGATCGTTAACGGTAAATGGCAGTGTGTAGGACCTTGCAAAACCAACACGGATTACTGTCACCAACATGGAGAGTGTTACAATGACATTAGCAAGGGGCCAATCTGTAGGTAAGCATGAACATCACTTTGTATCTCACATCTGTCATATTTTTGCATATAATGTCACTTTCATTAAACATTTGTTTTACTTTTATGGCCTTTTAATCCAGATGCTTTGAGTCTAGCCTTGAGCAGTTTTATGGCCCACAATGTGACGTCTCCCGTTGGGGTCCAGGTTTCTATGGTGCACTGTTTGGATCATTGGCAGTGGTGCTCCTGCTCTTAATTATCATCATCATTGCTGTCATCGTAAAAAAGAAACAAATGGTTGTTTGGTGGGTTCCTAGATAACACTATGCGAATGTTCAAAAGAAAATATTTTTGCTGTAATAATTGTATTTAAACATTGCTCTATTTTAGGAAAAGGAGCAACTCCTATAACAGAAGACTCTCAGCTTTTGAAGAAGACTTCTTTGACTTCTCTGATACAGGTGTGTTATCCGTAATCCGTTTTTTTTTTTTTTTTAAACAGCTTACAATTTTTCAGAAAGGACACTTACATTTGCAATTTAAAATATTATCCTGTTTCTTTACTCCAGGAAATCACAACTTGGGACTTGCAGGTACATACTAGAGGAATTTAGGCCACAACTAAAAAGTGATCACAACTGATTACAGGTGTTCTTGTTTACTATTTTGTTTTTACATACAGTACCTATTGAAGAACTGATAAATGTAAGATTGTAGTTTAATTGTTGATATTAATGTCATCATTTGTGTGTCTATCCAGGTCACAACAAAACATCCAGAGGTTTTTGAACATCAACCCCAGATTATGGCTACAGAACGCAACATTTTGTGTTAATAACAATGGTTTTCCATGGTAGTAGTGAGGAACATTACAAATTGTATGAGCTACCAACTTTATATTGCACATAATGTATTTGAATTGTAATTTGTTGTTATGATATTAATGACTTTGTTTATAATATTTGTAATTCAATGTAGCCTCTTGTGCCCTATCTTAAAATAAACATGTCAAATCATACATCAGTGAATTCAAATTACACTAACAATTTGTCTTTTCAATGACACTGTTGCTCTGCTCTTAAATTCAAAGTAATATACAGCTCTGGAAGAAATAATAATAAAGAGACCACTGCACCATTATCACTTTCTCTGGTTTTACTTTTTACATGCGTTTGAGTAAAATGAACCTTTTTTATATTTGATCATATAAACTACGGACAAAATGTCTCTGTTTGGAATTCAATAGACACTGGAATGGCTGCCATACATGTAGAGATTGAGATTTAAGATACATTTTGAGTGGTCCCTTAATTTTTTTCAAAGCTGTATGTAACATGTGAAAATATTGAATTCTGTCCCTTCTTGAACTCTTGTCCGGAGGGAATGTTGGCTTCAGCTTAGAAGTCAGTGTCTAGGGTTTCTGAATGTGTATTAAATCATCTAAGAAAGTACATTTTATTGATGACGTTCCCTAAATTCAGTACAATGTCCTGTCACTAGATCACCCACCACACACACACACACACACACACACACACACACACACACACACACACACACACACACACACACACACACACACACACACACACACACACACACACACACACACACACCACACACACACACACACACACACACACACACACACACACACACACACACACACACACACACACACACACACACACACACACACACACACACACACACACACACACACACACACACACACACACACACACACACACACACACACACACACACACACACACACACACACACACACACACACACACACACACACACACACACACACACACACACACACACACACACACACACACACACACACACACACACACACACACACACACACACACACACACACACTTCAATATGGGAATAATTAAGCGCAGAGAGAAAGCGAGTTTTAAACAAATATTATTGTTCCTATCTATCTTAATCGTTTGTGGCATTTTTATTTTATTTGCAACTATACCTCAAAATACTAGTGCAAATACCTGCTGCTGGTCCTCAACAGCACTACATTTCTGTTTTTCTATCCGACCACATTGTTGGCTATTTGAGTCCACCTAGTGGTAGACTCACCTGATCATTACTTTATCTTTGCTTGATGTACCACATTGTCTTTACAAGAACTCTTACCTAAGTAACATTTGACCAGCAGCACTTCATTCTAAGTTAAATATTTACAACTCTGTCCCCTTTACTAACCAAGACCAGTTACAAGACCAGAGGATGTCAATGCGCACAACAGTATTGATTAGAAATTGGCCATATTCGTTTTGTCTCTTATGACAGATTGCAGATATGCATTTTCTTGCTATATTCACAAGTGTAAATAGTATTATCTATTTATATATATATAACAGACAAGCAAGCATACCAAGCAATCATTCTCCACATTTTGTCTATAAATCTTATTATTCACAATGTCATTTTTCCAACTTTATTTTTGATTATACATTTTGAGGTGTATCTTTACAATGTTGATCTACAACCATGTTAAGATCCAGTCACAGAAACCAGAAATTGCTCTATTACTTTTAGACAACTGCAGACTAACCAGCAGAGGCTGTATAGCAATTATTGCAGCAGTTATCATAATTGCTGTAATAATTATTATCATTAAAATATATCAATCATCAGTGTTAGCTAGAACTCCTATCTTCTTTACTTAGTCCAAAGATATGTTTGATGTCATTGAGCTGCTTCAACTTAAGTCTGACATACTCAATTTAAGAATTACACCCACGTAAGAGGTCAAACTCTAATTGCATGAGTAGAAATGTATTAGCGTTGCCAAAATAAAGCTCCCTCAGAAAACAATGTTTAGTAAGATAGTATCAGTTTAAGAAACTATTTTGGCTAAATAGGATTACAAATAATAATTAAAAAGTAAACATCTATAAGAAAGTGTCATGTCTGAGTTTGGGCATAGAGCACATCCAAAGTGCCACAGCAGTGCAATGTGTTTAACTCAGAAAGTGATCACAAACCAAACGCTTTGTAATTTCATCTGGCACCTGATCTTTGATTAAAACGAGCAGCCTGTTTTCAGTTGCCATAGTCAACATCCATGCTGTCACCTAGCAGCTCACAGGTAAAAGGTTATGCTCCATTAAAACAATAATGCTAAATCGATTGCAATTTAACAACAAAAACGTAAAGCTACAGAAATGTTCAGTTGAGGTGTTTAATGTAAATGCAGCTTAACTGAAGATAGTTTGGTAATTATTTAACCAGTTATACACTGTGTGGCTTATTGTGGTTGTGACTCCATGCCTAACCACATGGACTCAAGTCAAGAGTACAACACTTGCAACATTGTTAAGCACTTGAAACAAAAAAAACGTGTGGGCGCAGAGCTGGCTGCCACAGAGCATCTAAGCTGTCATGCAGGAGGAGACCGTGCTCTAACCAGGAAGAGGAAGGCAGTACACCTGTCAGTCGACCATTGTAAGTCACTCTACTTTCTCTGGAAAGAGGCCAGTCACAACAAGGCACAGCATGAGGGTGTGTGGGTGATAAAACAGGCCAAACAGCTGAGTTGAGAGTTCAGGCTTGACAGATTGAAGAAACAAAATGAAGCAGTTTCATAAATAAGTCATTTTATTTAAACTTTCTTTTCAAAGACTATATGCTTTTCAACTATTCATAAAAACAAATGGAATTGTTAAATACTGTACACAGCATACTGTACTCTCCCAGTGCATGTCTTCACCACAGCAGAGAAGGTATGTCTTAATAAACTAGTCTTCATTCAGTTTTATTATTTCTAATAAGACATATGAATACCTTAAGATTAAATAGTATCAGTGTATGTAAACATTTTCTTCAGAAATTTAAGTCAAATGCAACATTGTGTTGGCAGGGTTTTGTGAGCAGGAGGGAGAAAAAAAAAGTATATTTTAATGACCGTTTGACCTTAGCAGTTATCCGTTTCCCAAACTGACCACCATGTTCGATACCAAGGGTTACTTCAATACATTTAGCTACATTTATTATATCATCCTGATGCTTCTTGAGCAATCTACAACAATACAATTCATATATTTTCTAGGCTGCCAGCAGCCAAAGTCTGTCAGACCACACCCACTGCAATCATGTAAGGCAGGAATGCATGAGCAGAACAGGAAAGTCTGTGTCAGGTAGGTAAACCCTGCACTGTCTTTGTAATGTGTCTGTATTAACAGGTTAGCCAAACATCTGTGATCTAAGCTCTGCGTGATCAAAAATCAATTTTTAAGGATATCCGGTTAGAATTGACTTTATGTTACTCGTAACTGAATTAAAACTGTGTCAGGTCCCACAATGAGTTGGTTACCTCATCTATATAAATTATAATTTCTGATATTACCTTTGTAGAAAGGGGATTATGTGAAATATGTGAAATATAGGAATAATATTAAAAATGGAGGTAGTATATGAGACAAATTAGTTCCAAGCAATGACTCACAGCTTGACCAACAATAAGCTCCTCCAAGTGTTTGGTGGAATTTCAGTAAGTATAGCATACATTCACTTAATGTTCAACAAGCCCATTTCTGTGCAACAAAACAGACCTGGACACTGAAAGCAAGCAATCTCTTTTAGAGGGCTGTACTAAAAAGCAGACACTGCAAAAAAGCAGAGCACTGTAACAAGTATGGTTGATAGTTTTCTACCAAAATTCTCGCCAGAACACTTTTTCAACTGCTGTTCGCATGCCCGTATGTACAAACACATACAAGCACTAACAGACACATTCATCAACCGACAACTACACCATATAAGCTGCACTAGACATTCCAATGGAAACATGCGTAGCTACCAGTAATGTACCCACCTCTTAGTACAAAATGTACCATGTGGAAAACATCAATTTACACAGATATAGAGGCCTGATTAAGACTGCAACTTCATCAAGGCAGGGAAATCATATCAGTGTTGATATATAATAGCAAACAAAAAAGAGATTTGTGTGCTAGCATCCTTCATTTTGTTAAAAAAAAAAAATCATTAATAGGCCTTGTATTTCGACTTCATATATTGATGATACACGTTTACATTACTGACCTTTTGTCCCTTGTAAGATACAAAAGCAGTGTCAATGCACCTCACAAAACATCCTCAACCTTCCAGACACTGAAAATACTGAACACACGAGGTCCAAGGCCCGCTTGTACCTTCCGGCTGTACCACATCATGAAATAAATCTTTTTTTAAATCATATAAAAAAAATAAGCTCTACATTGTTGCATTTTTCCCACAATCTATAGTCAGAGATACAGTTCGTACATAAAGCATCTCAGTTGTGATAGCTATTTCAACAGTACCAGTAACTGAATACAGTGCACACATACCCTGTGTGTTGAGAATACATAGGGGTAAAAAAAATATATAAAATAAGTAAAAGCAGCAGTTTGAGGGTTGTTAGCGTCCAGCTTCACAATTTTTTCAAGTGGTTTTTGCTCATGTACAGTAGAGTCCTCTGCTACTTCTAAAACTTTTCAAACTAAATCCACCTGTGCTTTCCTTCTGGTGTGACAGTCCCAGTTTGAGTCTGATACATCTGTATTGCGAGCTGCAGGGCTATCC